GGAGGCCCAGCCTGCCAGGGAGGGCCAAGGCCAGGGACAGGCTGCCTGCGAGACAGCTCCAGGCAGCACGGAAGGATGTTCAACAGAGCTCCGGGACCCACGCGCAAAGGCTGCGCAGGACAGGGGCTGAGGTGAGACTGGGGAGGGCAGGTAAGCACTATTGTTGCACTCACAGCCCTGATATTTATATTTATTCAGCTCTCCTTATTATCTAATTTGCACTAACTGCTTTTATTATTAATTTAATAAAACTCACCTACCTGAAATCTTTATTCTGCTCCTCTAAATCTCAAGGCACAGACAAGCATGTAGTGCATTAAACTCTAACATGACACAACTGCAGATTTTATTTGTAATATTTTTAACATTTATTAATGCTGGCCATACCTGTTTGCAGAAATCCGGCTTCAGCCAGTTCTTCAATTATTGGTGACAAATCCATACTTATCTCTCCATACTCTATTTTGTTCACCTTTAACCAGTTCAGCTTGCGTTGAAAAAGTCTCACATATAACTTCTGCCCACCAACTGCAAATTTTATTTAAAGCAAAGGAGGATAAAAAGAAAATTAAATTCTAAAACACAGTACTATGCATAATTACTATGTTAACCAGAAAAATTACTTTTGTGCAGATATCCTCTAAAACAGATTTTAAGTCCGCCCACGTTCTATGAGCAGACTTGGTAAAATACCAGGGCTTACCTTTCCAAGTAATTATTGCTCATTAGAATCCTTAAGCTTTGTAGGTAGAAAATTATTACAATGTGTTTTGTAGGTAATGAACCTTGCTAAAATTAATTTTGAACAGGCCTACACTTTAAGAAATAATTTATTTTCTAGGAAAAGACAACTTCATTTTTCAAACTCTGCACATTGTGATGGTAGGTCTTTTTGCTTTCTTTAACACTCATTCAATAACCAAATATTGATGCTGGGGAACAAAATAAGCTGTAGTCTGACAGAATGATTTCAGAATCACAGAATACCTCTCTGTGTAGTACTCTTCAGATTCTTATTTTTCCAAAGATATGTTTAATTTTACTAATATATCTATTGAAAACAAGGGGAAAAAACCCTCCTATCAATTTGATTTTTATCAGGGAAGTGCTCTCTTAAAGTACCTTGTAAAAACACTTTTAAAATACTAACAATGCTGAAACCCAACAAAATAGCTTATTAAATCTTAGCTGAAAATAATCTCTTGTTATAGTAACTACGTGCTGAATGTAGCATTCAGCACCCTTTGGAATACTTAATTCATCCCTCATTAACTTCTAATTTTTTCATCCCTGTCTGCTGCTGCTTAACTGAAACTGATCATTAATAAAAACAGACACTGAAACACTACTAGACCTAGATATATTTAAGAAATGCCAGTTAACTTGTACATGCTTATTTAACTATTCTCCTGTCCTTAAAAACACTTTTTCAGCCTTTTTTTAAAAACAGAATGTTTCCAGGATCAATCCACTGACAGAACTACATTCAGATGCATAAGCCTGTCCTTTTCTCTGTGGAGTTTTAACGTCTTTGGTCTGTCTACGGTTTTTATAACCCCAGAAAAAGGTCGAGTTAACGCATGAACACCCTTTCTGCAGACCATGGAAACCAACCACACTGGGGCTGCAATCCAGGAAAGGCCTGTGAGGACTGCTTCCTCTCTAAAGGATCTGAATGACAAAGAGAAGGTATCATGCAAGTAATTAATTGCTTCTTAAGCATCCTGTCTGCAGTACATTACCTTTGAAGGTTTGGGGGATTTTTTTTCTTTTGTGGTTCTTAAGAAAGTTTCAGGTGTATCACTGAAACAAAAAATTAACTCTAAGTTGAAATATTATCAGCAAAAAGATGCAGAAGATCTTAGAAAAGATCAGCCTCTATGTTTTACGCAACAGGAAAAAAAATTACATCGTGAACTTCTGTTCATTTTTTTGTACCTCAGTTCCACTGGTGACTATAAATCAGTGTTTCTCAGATAGATTTTTTCTGTCGCATAAAAGTTGGAAGGAGGATTTAAGGAAGTGTATTAAGTAGTGTCACTAGAACGATATGCTTCATTTAAACTCTTCCAACTGCAACATGTGGTGAAATTAGACATGGAGAATACAAAAAATATTTAATCTTACACCTAAGTTCAGACAGATCTCATCTTGAGCACAAAGCCTGACATTACACTGCAGATTACTTGTTATGGACACACCACTGCTTTTCCCTACTTTTATTTACTGTCTCTAGTACTCAAAAAATTGTCAGTGCTCTACAGCAAACATAAAGGCCATCCACTTTTGAGGAAACTGGGCAGGAAAGGACTGCTTCAAATTTAATGCTTTTAAAAATACCATTCCTTTCATAAAAAGCATTAGAGAGAATTCACTGAAGAATGGTAGGCATGGTAGACATTTTAGCAGAAAATAATTAAATACTAGAGAATACCTATGTTTAAGCAACTTTATAGTGTTATGCACATATGTAGTTTTTTTTGCTTGGGTAGAAATTCTAATATGGAACAGATAACCCATCTACCTGAACTTTTAAAGTATTCTGTCTAAGATTTCTTGAAGGTAAAGACACCCATCTGTCACTTGTTCAGAATTCATTATCTATTGACTTAATGCTATCTGATCACTTGTCATAGCTGAATCACTGAGTCCTTCCTGCCCTGCAGAGACTGTTTTGTGACGCCAGCAGTCAGTACAGACATGCATTTATCAACACCACTTTGCAGTAATTCTTTCTGTATTCCAAACTCCTGTGAGAGGGGAATACTGAAATCACACTGCTGAAAGAGAAACAAGCACTAACAGAACAAGTTACTATTACTGATCAGTGTTGTACTCATCCAGAGAAGGGAGTGTGGAAATAAGGAAGCTGTATCCTGAATGTCTCTTTTAGTATTTGTCAAAATAGCCAAAGCCTGTGTTCACTAATGACCTCACTGAAAGTCTATTCCTAGATCATGTTTGGATGTAAATGATACGCATCTACTGCTTGCCTCAAAAGAGCCAATAACAAGAGTTTTGCCAATTATATTCCATTCTTTCTTTATATATTCCAGTTCTAACTATCACAACATAAACAAGGCATTATCAAGCTCCAAGATGTCACCATATACACATTTAGGTGGAAAATGTTAACTATTGTAATATTCTTATGGCCTCGAGTGAACCAAGAGGCTCTGCAACCCCACCCCAGCCCCCCCAGGTTTGGCTGCTTGTGTTTAAGGTCAGCTCCCGTACAGTGCAGCTGTGCAAGCTGGGCTCAGGCTGCTGGGAGGAACGGCGGCGTGGGGCTTTGCCAGGCCCTGCCCTGCTTCACTCGGGAGCTGTACTTAGGCTCAGGCTGGTGGCCTGTGCTCTTGCCTAAGCTCTGCTGGGGCGTGCAGTGCCTGGCCAGACACCTTGCTGTATTGGCTGCACCTTGCACCTGTCCTGTCACTGCCTACTTGCCTGAAGATCTGCCACCACTGGAGCATGGCTGACTGCAGTACTGGCACTGGGGCCGCTCTGCTCTTCTTCTTTGGGCAATGTGGGCTTGTGAGCTGCCTGCCCCGCTGTCTGCTTTGGCTCCTGGCTTATCTTCCCATGCAGAGTAGTCTGCTCTTGCTGCTCCCTGTGCTCCCTGACAAATGCAGTCCTATGTTATGATTTCATCTTACTTACAATGTTGTAAGTTATGTTAGTATTATTATTTAATTTTTAAAATGTTTGGTGTTACCACATAATTGTAATTATTACCATAAAACCTGTAAGAGCTTAACTGTGACCAAGTAACCACTAGAGAAACACCTGTGTAAGTTTAGAGCCCTACTTCCTCCTCTGGAGTTTCTTCACCTTTTTAGCAACCATCTCTTAAGGTGGTTTGAGTCAGCTCAGCTGGCTCTTCCACTAAGGCAAATGAAGAATGTCCATATGGTCCTTTCCAGTTGCTAAACTTTGGAAAAAGATCTTAAGTCAAAAAGACATTTCTGAGATTGTTTGACCACAGTTTAAGTACTTCCTAGAGAAATGGATACGCACTGACTCAATTTTGGTTTTTAAGGAACTACTTATGAGGGTTATGTTTCTTCCTAAAAAGCTCAAGCCAACACTCTTCCATTTCTGTCACTCAGTATCCGGCATTAAAAACCTTGTGATGTCATATACACTACAGTAACCTAACCTCATTCTGTTATTATTCTCCACATCTACACAAGTTATTAGAAAAACACTTACTGAAAGCCTCCTACTGGCCTTGGAAAAATTTCACATAATTGCTAATCACAAGTCATGACCTTGATATTCTCTTTTGTAATGTCCTGTGGTGTCAATCTGCAATATCATTTGGAACTTTACAGAAATAAACATTAAGTGACTAAGTGCTCTAATCAGCTGTAACAGTTTTCTTCCGCTTTGCAGGGTCTAAGGACTGCTGTATGGTAGTGCAGAAAAAATGAATATAATACACAAAGAGGAAGAAGACCAAAACACGTGACTGTTTCACACAGGGAAATACTACTCTTTAGTGTGATAAACTTTACAGCCTCCTAGTTAAGCCAAACTCAATTAACACAATACATTAACAACTGCAGTCTGCTTCTGATTTTTTTTTTTTAATTATTATTTTTACCAGCAGGTATGTATGCAACTGTCACTTTTGTATGTTCAGCTCAGATGCATAAACTGAGCTCATATGAACATATATCTAAAAATACTTTGTCAGGCAGCTGTATATTACTGGTAATCCACAGTAGCTTAGAAAAATCGAAATGGTTATGTCTGCAACACTCTGAGATACAAATTCTCTTGTGGAAGTTGTTACAAGCTTATTTCCATTTTGATGCTCCAGGTTTGAAGCTCAAGTGCTGGTAAAACTACTCTTAACTACAGATTAAGACAAAACATAAACACACATAAAAATCTGGAGGGTTAGTTTTAACTTGCATCATTTCTGCCACACTTTTGCTGTAAAACTTACATGAGTATAGGATTCAGACAACATGTCCACTTTGCATCTTGTCTAAATATGGAGGGTTTAACTCTCCAACGTTCTGGCTCCTACTGAAATTATGAGTTAAAAGTACTAAGCAACCTACAAGAAAAATGACTGTTAATTAGTAACTAGCATTCTAAACATTGGATAACAATCACAGGGACAACCTCAGATTCACACCAAGCGTGAAAGTGTTGCTGAATCAAAGCTCAAAAATGACACATCAGAAGTATTTTTTTCAAGGTCTATGTATCCAGCCCAGGCCTCCTCATAACCCCATTCTGTAGAATACTCATATGTATTAACCAACAAAAGCCTGGTGTTAACTGATAATTCTTTTTCAATGCTATGAATTTCCTCCCTTGGAAACATCTTTAAACGCAGCAGGACATTGACTTAAGATTCTAGAAAATAGTACTAAAACAAACAGTAAAAAGAGTATTCCAAAAAAAGGAGGAATATAGATAATCATTGACTCCTTATTTCTTACAAGTCTCCACTATTTATCATTACCTTCCATTAAAGTCACATCAGGAAAGTTTACCTACAAGAAGCCACGGAGGCATATGTCTCCTGAGAAAAAGGACCTTCTTCCCTTAAGGAATTTATCAAGTTAAATTGCCCATTGATAGAGCACTCTTCACATAAAACTACGTAACAGTTCTCTCTACAAGAGGTAATGTGAAAATACATTTTAAAAAAAAAAAAAAAAGATACCTGATAATTTGCAGAACTTGGTTATAATGTTCATATCTTGCTCATCAAAGAGTCTGACATCATCTTCGTTCTCCAAGACTGCTCGCAGCACCACTAGAAAATTCTGGAGGTAATACGGGTGCCCAGGAGAGCTGTGCACAGAGGTAACCTCATTTATTTTGTCTAAAATGTCCCCAATGGAATTTTGAAATTCTACCTTTTCCACGCTTTCTGATGAAGTATGATTAATCTCATCCTTAAAGTCTTCATGAACTTCCACAGGAAGTACCTGCACATCACCCTTGCTAAAGCAATTTTGTGTGCCACAGCTCACTTCTGGCTTGGAAGAAGGAATAACCAGCATGTGAGGTTGAGTCTTGACTTCCAAACTATTGGTCAGCTCTGCTGAAGCATAAATGGCTAGACGTCTTTCAACTTGATCAGGACTAGGTATTGTACCTTCAGTCCTACTTTCCGTTTTGGTGCTCCTCGTACCAACTGGTAACCTTTCGCCATCAATGTTATCAGCTGGTAACGATATCGGAACAACATCCACAAGGTCTTCTCCATTACATTTGTTTGTTTGTTCTTGAAATTCAGGTTCCTTTGAAAAATTTTGTTCCTGGCGCTCTCTCTGAGCCAGCTGATTGTCTTCCTGAGAACTACCCCCAGCATAAACCTCATCATTATCATCCCATGCTGCAGTGCTTTTGCACATACTGTGAACGGCTGGAGGTGAAGTCTCGATCTCTTTATACACGATTTGCCTTCCCCCCTGGATACGTCGTCTTTTGGATAGTTTAGATGACAAGCTTCCCAAAGAGACTATTTTAACTGTTTGAGCCTGTGGTTCACTGTTAACACTACAGATTGAACTGTTATTGCTAAAGTAAGGACTAATATGTGCTGCACTGCCTTCTGTTTTCAATAAACTGCTTTTGAAAGGGCTTGTTTCTAGATTTGAGGGGGTTTTTGAAAAATATGAGCTGGAATTGTCGTTCGCATTTGCAGCTGGGGGACTCTCATTCCTAAAAGAGTTGAGTGCTGAATCAATGACACCAGTCTCACCACGGTTTCTCTGACACGTTTCATCCATGTGCTCATTTATTCCATACCTTGGCACCATCTTCCCACACATGGGGCAGGTAATTTTGGCAGGGGGAACGTTATTAAAAAAGGAAATAATAGAGGAAGATGCTGAAGGTATAGACGGTGTTCCTTTACCTTCCACTTTTTTTGTTGTTCCTTTTTGCTTATTTTTACTGAGCGACAAACTTATTCGGGATCTTTTAACTTCTGCAGACCTAGTTTCTGCCATTACAAAACTTCAAAGCATTTATGCGGCACAGGCAACTTCAGCCCATATTTCCTTATCCTGTAATACTTAAAAAGACTTTTCTTGGCTTTGCATTTTCCACCTATAATCCTCTGACATGCCTCCAAGAAAGAAAAAAAAAAAAAAACAAGGTATTGAATGAAAGCTCTTCTAAGGTACCAAACGCACCCAAGATGAACAGCGGAGAAGAAAAAACCCAAACCCCTAAAACTGGGACAGTCAAGTCATCCTTAGCTACTACAGTGCCCCCTTTCGCGGCTCACACCCACCCCGCGTGCCCCTGCCCGGCCCCGGCGCGGGGTCTCGCCGCACACGGTCCCAGGCCCCG